ATTTCCATGGGCGGCGGTATTCACTTACCATCAGGTGAACCGTCTGCTCGTTTGGCAACTTTTCACATAAAAAAAAAATTAAATTCAGAGCCTTTTGGCCCTAAAATTACGAGTCCTATTCCATTTTGTAACAAAATGTTTAAGATGATAACTTAGTCTTCAATTTATTGCCTAATCTGTTATATATTTTTCGTTGTTATGGCGCAATAAATCTCTAGATTAAACAAAACGAATACTGTATTGTCCGTGTATAAGGCAAGGCGAAGTGAGAGATCAATAGTGATGAATGTTAAAAATACACGAAAAAACATGTAATTCAGTTCTTTTCCAAGTCTGATAGTGTTTTCTTCCCATTAACGTACACCATAAAACAGGATTAATTGGGATAAAACCGTTCGCGTGGTCACCCTATCCACGACATGCTCGATGATAAGCCAAGAGTGACAGCCAAGAGTTTTATAGCTCAATCTTAGTGTGTGAGTCAGTTTTTTCGTGCATTCGCTGCAAAATGATTTTAGTGATGTATATAACACGGGGGGTCATTAAATTCTTAGATAACGGAGACAAGTCGGAGTAATTTATTGCGCCACTAAATGAAAAACTTGTTAAAGGGTTCGAGTTCAGACTGTTAACGGTGTGTAAGAACCACTATGAGATAACTTTAACGACGCTATAACGCAGTTTTGTGTTTATTATTTTTCGGAATCGTTGCTAACGGGTAAATTCTAAGATAATTAAGACGTTATCCTTACCAATATTATAAAGTTTGTATTGATGGATGGATGTTTGTTACTCTTTCACGCAAATACTACTGAACGGATTTTAATGAAACTTTACAATAATATAGCTTATACATCAGAATAAGACATAGGCTAAAATTTATAAACTTATTTAATGTATATCTGTCTTTCTGTCTGAATGTTATGCTTTCAGCCCATTCTATGCAGACGTAGTCGCGGGCAGCAGCTAGTCGGCAATAAGTACCGATGGTAATGTTTGCTTTATTGTTTTTTTTTTTAACCAGAGCTTTATTAAACTTAGTTAAAGTCGCAAGTGCCTCAGAGGCACTCATCCTATTTATTTTATTCTCATCATCATCATCATCATCATCATATCAGCCGTAGGACGTCCACTGCTGAACATAGGCCTCCCATTGACTTCCACTTCGACCGGTCGTTAGCGGCTTGCATCCAACGCGTCCCTGCGATCTTGGCTAGGTCGTCCGTCCACCTTGTGGGAGGCCTTCCTACGCTGCGTTTGCCGTCACGTGGTCTCCACTCGAGAACCTTTTTGCCCCAACGGCCATCGGTTCTTCGAGCTATGTGCCCTGCCCACTGCCACTTCAGCCTGCTGACTCGCTCTGCTATGTCGGTAACTCTAGTTCTTCTACGGATCTCCTCATTTCTGATTCGATCTCGTAGAGAAACCCCAAGCATTACCCTTTCCATAGCGCGCTGTGCGACCGCGAGCTTCCTTATGAGGCCCATAGTGAGAGACCACGTCTCGGCACCGTAGGTCATCGCTGGTAGCACGCACTGGTTAAAGACTTTCGTCTTTAAGGACTGTGGTATTTTGGACGTAAAGACGCTGCGCAATTTCCCGAACGCAGCCCAGCCGAGCTGGATTCGTCGATTGACCTCCTTCTCGAAGTTGGATTTGCCTTGTTGGACCATTTGTCCCAGATAGATATAGCTATCAACAACTTCGAGTGGCGAGCCTCCCAAAAATACGGGGGTGGGCGTCACATGGACATTTGACATGACTTTGGTCTTTTCCATGTTCATTTTCAGGCCCACCCGCTGGGATACTCTATTGAGGTCTTCGAGCATTGTGCTGAGCTCCTCCAAAGACTTTGCCATGACTACGATGTCATCGGCAAACCGAAGGTGAGTGCTGTATTCGCCGTTGATATTGATGCCACATCCTTTCCAATCCAGGAGCTTAAAGGCGTCTTCCATTGCATTGGTAAAGAGTTTCGGAGAGATAACATCTCCTTGCCTCACTCCCCTCTGCAACGGAATAGCCTTTGTGCTCTGATCCTGTACTCGGACCGACATGGTGGCGTTTTTATACAAGCACTTCAACACTTCGATGTACCGATAGTCAATTTGGCACCTTTGAAGAGACTGCAGCACTGCCCAAGTCTCGATCGAATCGAAGGCTTTCTCATAGTCCACAAACGCTAAGCATAGTGGCAAATTATACTCCTCAGTCTTCTGTATAATTTGCCGCAGCGTATGAATGTGGTCTATGGTACTATAGCCTTTACGGAAACCGAATTGTTCGGGAGGCTGGAAGTCATCAAACCTGCGTGCGAGACGATTCGTGATCACCCTCGAAAACAGCTTATAAACATGGCTCAGAAGCGAGATGGGCCTGTAGTTCTTTAGCAAGGTTTTGTCACCTTTCTTGAAGAAGAGGACCACCATGCTTCCGTTCCATGTTCTGGGCGTAGTACCCTCGGACAGGACGGAATTGAAGAGCTTCTGAAGGACTTTCAGTACCGGTGTTCCACCCGCTTTCAGAAGCTCTGATGTAATTCCGTCCTCACCCGCCGCCTTGTTGTTCTTAAGCTGCTTGAGGGCCATCCTGATCTCGAACAGGCTGATGTCCGGGATATCTTCTGTATAGTGTCGAGTTAGTTTGGCTCTTGGATCTTTAACCAAATCGTCAACAGGCTTGGCTCTTGAGGTATATAACTGTCCGTAGAACCTTTCGATCTCTCTCAGTACCTCTGACTTAGTAGATGCTACACTGCCGTCTTCCGTCTTTAGCTTCGTCAACTGGCTCTGCCCAATAGAAAAGTCTCTTGCGAACACTTTGGAGCCCTTATTCTGCTCTATCGTATCTTTAATACGATTAGTATTAAATTTACGGATATCGTGTCGCAAGGACTGATAAATCCGTCTATTGAGCTGCCGATATGCTTCAGCGTCCTCGGAAGTCTGCAGCGTCATTGAGCGTCTCTCCGCCATAAGGTCGATGGTATGATCTGATAATTTTTGAGGTCTATCTTTCCGGCGGGGTCTAAAGAAAGCTTTCCCTACCTCGTGGACAGTTTCTACCAGCCTGTTGTTGACCTCGTCCACAGAAACGCAATCCTCCAGGATGGAGAAGCGATTTGTGAGCTCGAGTTGAAAGCTCTCGGGTTTTTGTATGTGGGCTGCAGTGGGTCGGAGCGTGGACTTTATTAAGCGAGACCTTTCTAGGTGGACATTAATACTCAATGTGCCTCTAACCATTCTGTGATCACTCCCAGTTTTCACCCTGTGTATCACGGAGACATCATTAAATATCCGTCTCTTTGTCGACAAAATGAAGTCAATCTCATTTTTTGTGCAGCCGTCGGGACTCATCCAAGTCCATTTCCTATGAAGCTGCTTCTTGAAGAAGGAGTTCATCATGAAGAGTTCCTCCTTCTCCAGAAAGTCAGCCAACTTCTGGCCCCTTGGATTTCTGCTTCCATATCCAAATTTCCCCACTCTCAACTCATCATCGCCTCTCCTGCCTAGTTTCGCGTTAAAATCCCCCATGACAACAGTAAAGTATGTTTTGGAAGTATGTATGGCCCTACTGATGTCCTCATACATAGCTTCCACTTCATCGTCCGGGTGCGCCGAGGTTTATTCTCGGGCAAGTGAAATTCAAATCTCTATTCCATATAAATGGCCATTATATTTCGCGGTCACTAGCGAGAAAAAATAATGGTCATCAATGCTAAGAATAGCTCCAGATATTTAATTATGAATTTTGTACAGGGCATAAAATGAAAGTTATTTATGCCTTTGCTTTTTTATTAATACCGTAACACTAAAGTAAATATCCGCGATTACCTAATAAATAAGTGTAAAATAAATAACACTAATGGCCGTTTTCAATATTCAAACATTCTGTAGATTTGGTTCCTAGCGATGGGAATAATTACGTCAAAATTCTATTTCCAGTAAACAAGTCCACAGTTAGATTTAAAACGTCCGTATGTAGGTAATTATGTACAGTACTGTAAGTTTCATTATCAAATGAGATTAAAAGCGGAGAAGCTGAACTCCGTCTTCACCATATTCGAATTGTAGTTAACAGCAAAAATAGAAGAGTTTTACCGTTTTATTATTTACTAGTATTGGCAACACTAAAGGAAGTCATTCCTTGAGGTTGTTGGCAATACTAAAAGAAGTGTCATTCTGTGGGGTATAAATGAAGCTGCAAGAAGCATTTCGTGGCCTTGATCGTGGTCTTCATCTTTCTCTGGCTGTCATCAAGAAGTATACGTGATAGTGCTGACCAATCGGTATCTAGAGTGGGGTTTCATTATTGATATTAAAGTGATAAAATAAGTAATTATACCAGTGTTATTGTTGTGCAAAGTAAAACTACGGTGATTTGGTAAAAGTATTTATATTTCTACCTTCTTAGCTCGATAAAACAAAGTATAGCTAACACTAGTTGTGCCCGCGATTTCGAACGCATGGAATTTGAAATATATAAAATTTCTAGAATAAAATTAGTAAGTTATTCCTTATTTATTGCCTGTGAAAGACCCGTCAAAGTGTGTCCAGTCGTTTCAGACATTAGCCGGAAAAAATAGACAGACAGAAAGATAAAGATTGTAATAGATGTTATTTTTGCATATGTATGTATAAATCTATATCCATTTACTAAAAAGCGGTTATTTTACTATCAAAAACAGACACTCCAATTATATTAATATGTATAGATGTGGGTGTAAAGGAATCAATCGAAACATTCAGTTTATATTACAGTGATTATTAAAAAAATTGATAACAGAGGCCGCTTGTATAATCTGTAATAATACGTCGCATAAACAATTTGCTTCAATTGTAATGAAATAATTTGTAATTGCTGCTGTGTTTTCTACCGTGTATTTCCGTAAGGAGCAACGCTTAGAAGGAATTGTAATTGAACGACCTAGAGAATTTTGCACATAACATCAAACGGCTGTTTGCAGACAAACGGCCAAAGGACATTTGGGTAGAATATCACACACTCACCTCGGGGTCGATCTGCTTGAACTCCGCATCCTCCTCGTCCACCTCGAAGTAGAGCTCCGTGGAGGTGAGGGAGACGGTGCCCGGAGCCACCAGCCCCGGCGCCACCAGCCTCGCCCTCGTGCTGATGTTCACCGGCCCTGGGAGCGGAGATCCACCGCTTGTTGATACGTCCGTTGTGGGTTCGATTCCCACACGGGACAAGTATTTGTGTGACCCAATGATGTTGATGTTGATGTTTGTGAGTCGCTTCGCATATGGATGTTCGCGTGAAATTTATGTTCGTTAAACGTCAATGTTTTTGGAAGATAAAAAAAGATAGAGAAGACACTGACGGTTAACAATAATTGGTTCGATTCCCGCTACTGGAATAATATTGTGTGCCTTTCCTTGTAGCAATACTTGTACTATGGCTATTAGATAGTTGATAAACATACTCAAAATAGTCAAACTTCGAAAGGGTTTTTAAAAATAAAAATTAAAATACGTGTTGCCGATTTGGAGGCAGAATATAACGTGTCGAATATTTAAATGCATTTTTCAATCATCTCTCTCACAAACAACTCTAGGAATCGCATCCTTATCTATAATTCTATGAACTGCCCGGTGGCCATGCAAAGTCAGCGAAACAGTTCTTTACTAATCTAAGACAGAGGGCTGGGGTGGATGCATAACTAAATACTTTTCCTATGTAAATAAATCCATATTATAAATATATAAACACCCAGACACTGGAAAAAATCCATGTTCATCACACAATATTGTTCCTGTATTGGGGATCGAACCCACACCCGCTGGCGCAAGGGGCAGGCGCACTACTAACTATGCCAATCGGGTCGTCATATATTTTTAATATATATTTATTTATAAAAAAGGTATGTTTGTCAATTATCTAGTAACCATAGTACAAGTGTTGCTTAGTCTGGGACTAGAGAACGTTGTGTGTCCAGTGTACTGTCCTGTCCTGAATCTCGTCAGCATCGTCAGCTTCCTCTGCCCATATCCAACCTAGGTAGGGTCGGCACAAATGAATCGTGTTGTAAATGCTTTTGGCTAGGGTTTAAGATCGCAGAAATAGTTTTCCCACGTGGAATTGAACCCAGCACTCACGGCCGGAGCCAATAGCTGAGCAACCGCAAACCAGTGAGTCATCAACATCAATCATACCGCGAAAAGATAAGCGTTGACGTGCTAATGGCTTAGAAATAGAATTTGGGGCACTGAATTTACAATGAAATCAGGACCTTGGCCAAACCTAGAGAATACAAGCATCTTCTAAATAGTTAACTTTCACCTATCTACGCAATTAATTCATTCTAAGGGTTGCCTGGAAGAAATTACTTTTATTATGGCCGCCCATAGTACCCATCGCTTCTACATTAAATTTTGATTTTTGTTTATTTTATTTTTGGTATACAATAAAATGTATTCATTCATTTATTCTATAAACGAAAAAATCTGTAAAAATCTGTTAGAAATGCTTTGAGTATCGGTTCATATAAAATTACTTCAGATATCGAACAAATCTAGTTATAAATTTATTAATCAAGTGAACACTTAATTTTCGTACGTCGATATATATTAATAGTCCCTACTTAATTGATAAATATTGTTTCGGAATCGATACGATATCGATTAGTGTTCGAGATAATATCTAGCGTGCATAAAATTACGAGCGATTTACATAAAGACGAAAGAAATCGTTCGACTTGTGTTGTCGGATGAGTGAGTTACTTATATTTTTATATAGTTTAACATTTTAATGGCTCTAGAGTCAAAGGTTGCATCTCAAACTGCCTAATAAACGGACGAGTTAAATTTATACCAGAGATTATGCTTTGGCGTGTTAACTCGGTCGATATTTATGTTTCTAATGGAAATGTAAATAATTCAGCAAACGACATCGGATATTTTTCGACACGATTTGAATTTGCAATACTAAAAATATAGTAGCTAACGACTATTAATTAGATAATACACTGATATTGTGAAGACATACATAATTAAACATTGTTTGTTTGTAAATAGGGTGATTAACATCTAGTTTTAAATCATCTTTCTATACAGGGTGGCTTTTCTAAGTGTATCCACTTTTTTATTAGATTATAGACATAAATAATGTTATATAAAAAATGATAAATATTTAAAACCACTCGTAAGTAATTGATTACATTCATTTGAACTTATCTTAAAAAGTGCTTGATTTATACGCAACTCATTTATTTTACGCGCGATCATTCATAACTTACACGCACACAAGTTCGGGCACAGTAAAATTTAGGTATTTATGAATGACTACCGCATTGTCAACACGTTCTGTTTTTTAGGGAATTGAATGGCATTAAATTTTGGAAAAAAAAAACTTTGTTTTTCATTTCAATAAACGATTGTACTGCCTAGTCTGAACCTCCTGTGTAAATTTGGGCACTTCTCAAAAAATCTCCCTGTATATTAATAATGTAATTTCTGAGCATACCACCAATACATGTAACATATTTCTGCCATACATTTTATCATAACGAATTTGGTGGTGGCATTAGAATATAGGTTTAGGCAAGTCCGATGAACATATTACAACAGATCCAGAACAATTGTTTTCAGGTCGCACTGAGTGTCCGAGCCGTCGCCGAGTGCTATACACCGCGAAATCCAACGACACTTTTCGAGATGCCAAAAGGTGAAAGTAAAATTTACCTTCAGCGGTGTAAACCTATATGCCAAAGGCGGCAGTAAAATGCCAAGTCAAATTGGCCTTCAGCAGTATAAACCTCTAAATATGATAAATGTGGTAGTAGAATACCAAGTAAAATGGGCATTGGCAGTGTAAACCTCTTGTTTTTATTTTTTTATTTGTTATATTCATGTAATTTATTTAGAATGTTCGTGCTGTTTCTTGCTTGTCAAAATAAAGTTTATATGTGCAAAGAGATGCCAAAAGTTGTTAGTAAAATGCACCCAGTTACCTAACATTACTATGGTTTCCTGTTTTCAAGCGACATGTTTTTTGTTATTGGTTCCAATTGTCCATTTAACATTGTGATTGTACACGTAAAAGTCCATAAAAATATACGGTTATCATAATTTGTTTCTAATTTTATGTCAGGGTTTGATGGAAGAAAACTATTTTTAGGGCTTAAGCTCGCTTTTGTACATTATTTGTTTTTTGTAATTTTGTTTTGCCTTATACAGTTAGTTACAACCGCGACAATAAATGAACACACATATAGAGGATAACTTTTTAAAGTTATATTAAATATTTACATTGTTTAAGCATCAATATCCACCGAGTTATAAAATTTTCCAAAACAAACAATTTTAGGACATCCTAACTGTAACGTAAAGTTCATTTGTAAAGGTCACGAGGCATATGAACGGGTTGAATGAATTTAAAAGAGACAAAACATATTGTTAGAAGGAGAGGCTTGTAACGCGACGCTGTGGCAACGAACGCAAAAGTTTCTGAATGTATGAATCAGTCAGTTGTATAGGATGTTATAAATTTCGCTTCTTTTTTATTTAATTAACTTTGCATTTTTTTTACGATTATTGGCGAGTAGCGTTAGACGTGTGTTCATCTATCGTCGCATCGAGGGAGCTCCTCCTTTATTCGGAGTCGGCCAAGGAGGGCGCCACTCACCGGCGAGCTCCTGGTCGGCGTCCCGCTCGTCGAGCAGCGCGTCCGCGTCGTCGAGCAGGTCGGCCGCGGGCTGGGGCAGCTGCGCGCCGCCCGCCGCCTGCGCGATGCGCGCGTGCAGCTCCTCCGTCGCCTTCGAGGTCACGGAGGGGTGCCGGGTCACGTCACGTTAACTCCGGCGAGCTTCTGCCGGCGCACGAATGACTCGTGCCGGCACAACACCGCCGCTAAGTGGAAGTGTTGTACTTCTGCGTGTCATCTGATGAGTGAGGTCCGCTTTGATAAAAGAGGGCAACGCATCTGCAACCCGGCGCGGGTGTTGCAAATGTCCACGGGCGGCGTTGATCGCTTACCATCAGATGAATTATCATTTGCCTCCTTTTTCCATAAAAAATGACGAGTATGGTTTTTATGGTCTGTATGGCGTGTATGGCTTGTATAACCTGTAAGGCCTGTATGGCGTGTATGGCTTGTATGGCCTGTATGGCGTGTATGACTTGTATCGCGTGTATGGCTTGTATGGCTTGTATGACGTGTATGGCTTGTATGACCTGTAAGGCCTGTATGACGTGTATGGCTTGTATGGCTTGTATGACCTGTATGGCGTGTATGGCTTGTATGGCGTGAATGGCTTGTATAACCTGTAAGGCCTGTATGGCGTGTATGGCTTGTATGGCCTGTATGGCGTGTACGGCGTGTGCACCTGCAGGATGGCGTCGCTGGGCGGCGCCGCATCCGTGGCGGCGCTAGTGGCCGCGCGGCGCCTGCCCCTGGGGTCGGGCACCAGCCGCCGCCTCCTGCGGGCGTCGTCCTCCCACGAGTCCAGCTTCCAGAAGCCCTCAGCGGCGCCCTCCTCCGCGCCGGGGACGCTGAGCAAACGTCACGCAAACGTAACGAAAATATCACGAAAACGTGGCCAAAATGACACGAAAACGTCACGATAACGACAACCGGCCAATATGGTCGCGCGCGTTGCGAGCACTTGTGACGGTAACAGTTTTAGCCCAGTTTCTTCTAACCTATCTTGCTCTGTATTTATTTAAAAAATTGATTTTCAGGAGTTCCCCAAGTATTTCTGGAGACCAAGATCCAATTCCAGTGAAATGACTATGGGACGACATTAGCTTTCAATTAAAAAAAAGAATCATCAAAATCGATTCATTCAGTCGAAAGGTCTGAGGTAACAAACATATAACAAAAAAATACAGTAATTGAGAACCTATTCTATTTTTGATGCAGATGCAGAAGCATCGAGCATCGGACTAACATGGAGCGAGGTGAAGCTAGGGGACATAGGATTTTAAGTCAAGCAATTCAAGTCCGTTTTTGAAGTCGGTTAAAAAATACAATTCGTATTTCGAATGATTGATCTTTACGGCGGTAAGGCCACGCAGCAGCCTCGGCTGTTGCACGAATGGGCAGGCCCGTCCGGGTAAGTACCACGACCTCACAGAAAACCAGCGTAAAGTGCAAGTATGACAAATAGTTTCGCGTTTCGTCAGGTGAGTGAGGTAGCCGGAGCCCAATTTTCAAAAGGTTGTCAACGCATCTGTCCATGGGCGGCGGTATACACTTAACATCAGGTGAACCGTCTGCTCGTTTGACAACTATTCGCATTAAAAAAAAAACAACTTTATAGGAATTTCTTCCAGGCAACTAAAAAATGCACCCCCACCTGGCATGGGCGGCGTGGGCGGCGTGGGCGGCGTGGGCGGCGTGGCGCAGCTTGTCGAGCAGCCTGGCCGCGGCCGCCTGGTCGCGCCTCCGGGCGGCCAGGATCAGCCGCTCACAGCTGCGCTCCTCCTCCAAGCGCTCGCTGCTCGTGTTGGCGCACACGCACTGCGCAAGATGAAGTGTTTTTTTTAAATAAAACATTGCCCCTACTTTAGGATAACACTATCCCGCGTTCTAAGGACGTTTCACAAACACAAATCGTACACGGACAAACGTCCATATGCGCAACAACTATCTGTGGGTCGCACAAATAGTTGTCCCGTGTGGGAATCGAACCCACGACCCCCGACGCCGAATGCCAATGGCTCGGCACCTGTGCCACGGAGTCATCAGCCAATGGCCCGTCGATGGGAGCCTCGCAGAAGACCGACGTGAAGTAGAAGTGTTACACTTCTGCGTTTCGTCTGGTGAGTGAGGCGGCCGGGGCCCACTTTATTAAAAAGTGGCATCGCATGTTTAGCCATATAAATTATTTGTAGGGTAGAAAAAATGTTTGGGGTGGACCACTCCTAACATTTAGGGGGGTGAAAAATAGATGTTGTCCGATTCTCCACCCTGCCCGATATGCACAAAGAATTTCACGAAAACCGGACTAATTGAATTAATTGAACTCCTCCGTTTCGGAGGATTCGTTCATTTCGTACTTTTTCTACATGTTTTAATGTTCAATCTTAAGTGCAGAGATTTTATTTTAAAATTTATAAAAAGCAATGGCGACATCTCTCGTTCGAATTGTCGTTGTAAAACGATATTCGAAGTTGGTTGTATGCTGGAAAGGATATAACAATAGATGGCGCCAAGCATTGCTTCAAATGCTAAGAAAACAATGTAGAAGAATGTGTTAAGATTTTCGTCGGTGTGGCAATCAGCCGTTTAGCTCAGTGGCTAGAGCGTCAGGCCGCGAATGCCGAAGACGTGGGTTCGATTCCCACAGCGGCGACAATCTTTTCGTACTTTTTCTACATGTTTTAAATATAAAACGTTAAAAAAATCCATAATTAAAAAAATATATTTTTCAAACAAACTAATATAATTAAAAAGAAACAAAATTTGTAACATCCTATATAACTACAACTGACTGATTCATACATTCAGAGAATTTTTCATTCGTTGCCACAACGTCGCATTACAAGTTTCTCCCTCTAACAGTATGTTTTATCTCTTTTAAATTCATTCAACCCATTCATATGCTTTACGTTACAGTTTTATACGTAAGGGTGTTCTAATAATTTTTGTTTGGTAAAATTTAATAACTCGGTAAATATTGATGTTTAAAGAACGTTAATGCTTAATACAATTTTAAAAAAATTATCCTCTGTATGTGTGTTCATTTATTGTCGCGGTTGTAAAGACACGCCGTATACAGTTCCCCGTGGCGGGTATGCTGTGACCCCGAAAGCACAAGTCTAGCAGTTCCTCGTGGTACCTCAAAGTCGGCGTGCTTGAGCACGTCGTCTGCCCTCATCCTGTTGAGGATGAACTCCGCCTCGTTGGCGACGCGCACGATGTGGTCCCTCATCGCGTGCGAGAGCAGCCGCCCCTCGTTGATCAGCTCGATGAACGCCAGCCCCGCGTGCTTCTGCAGCGAGTTCTGCCACTCCTGGGAGCAGAGCAGCATCACCAGCTCCACCACGGACGTGGAGCTCTTGAACGTCTGCAGCCCTGCGTGATACTTTCGCGTTTATACCATATATATAGTATAGTATATGGTTTAAACTACTACTTAACTACTATTAAATACTTTCGCGTTTCGTCTGGTGAGTGAGGTAGATGAAATTTGAATTCCCAACTCTATCTTCTACGCTCATCGGTCATAGGAAACGGAGAGCTGAATGTAGGAACGAATGAAATGTTTTTTTTTTTATTATTAATAAAATTCTGCACATGCTCAGTTAATATGTCCGTCGTCTATAAAATCACCCTGTATGTATACGTACACAACAAGAAAGAATAGAAATCTGTACAGTCATCATCCTCCTGCCCTTACCTAGGTGGGGCACAAAATGAGAATCATGTTGCAAGCAGTTTCGGCTATGTTTTTTACGACCTGCCTGAAGTCAACTCTAGGGAAACAGACACTCGGATCCGGAACAATTATTTGTGGGTTACACAAATTCTTTTCTCATCTGGGAATCGAACCCACGACCCTCGACGCCGAAGCCGATAGCTTAAGATCGAAACAGTGCAATAGGCGTCTTCGAAGTCCAATCAATGTTCTATAGTTTCCCTGCAGGGAAATAAATCGAAACATCGAAGAGCACACTGATATAAAAAAGAGCAGCGCTCGTGTTCGTTCACTTTCTCGTCAGCCGTTGTGGCGTGTGGAAGCTCTACCCGAATTAATAACGATAGTATCGGTTAAATAAACTTCTATGTAGTTTCGGCGTACTGGCCAATTAATTGTTCTTTTTTTAATCATTTGTCTTTGGCGTACTGGCCAATTGCTTTTTTTTTTAATCATTTATCTTTTCTATTTCTAGGGAGCCTCTACGATGGACGGCCTTATATGAGCCGCTGTCGGCCGGAAGACCCATCCATGTCCACTCACCTTCCATGAGCAGCTCCTGGCCGTGGCTGCCCACCAGGGTCTTGGAGAGGAAGGGTGCGAAGTCGAGCATGATCTCGCGCAGCAGGGGGCACACGGGCCCCAGCGCCGTCTCCAGCTTGTGGGTGAGAGACGCCTCGCGGGAGGCCCCATCGCCCCCCGCGCCCCCCGCGCCCCCCACGCCCCCCACGGACCCCATCGCGCTCAGACCCGCCAGGGTCTCGTTGTCCTGCACAGTCAACCGGTCCGCCCTTAGGGTCCCGTGCCCACAGGATCACAGGACCCCGTTACAAACACTCCACTGTCAATATGTCTGTCCTTCTGTATCTCATGAACCGTGATAGTTACAAAGTTGAAATTTGAACAGATCATGTATTTCTGTTGCCGCTACAACAGCAAACACTAAAACTGAGAATAAAAAATATTTAAGTGAAGGGCTCCCATACAACAGAAAAGATTTTTAATGAATTAATTCAATTGAATTAAATCCCCAAAAATATCAACCAGGAGCATCCGCGACACATAAACTATCCCGTTTCTATGTATAAATTAGAACTTTTTGCGTCTCAGAATCCTAACGGGATAGTATAGGCGTCGTTTGTGACAAAACTATTCGTGGAAATCTTACGGGATGTAGATGCCTCTGGGCAACCTGGAGGTTCCTGTTCTGATGCCTCTGCTGCAAATGATGATGCTCGCTGTTCCGCATGTGGATTTGCTTATCGATGTCTGAAAAATAAAATTGCCGTTTGCAGTCATTATATGTGCCCTCTGTATAGAGGAGGCCTTTGCCCAGCAGTGGGACATGTATAGGCTGTTACTTTACTTTTTTACTTTACTTACAGTCTTTAGCCAACCTGGCTTTGATCATAGAGGACCACATCGAGAATTTCCACCAATTATTTGAATTCAAATCAAATCAATTCTCATAAAAATATATATGTAAATAACTGTCTAAATGTCTATCCAAAATATAAAAGACTATCTAAATGCTTGGAAGCGACAAAGTGCCGAGAGGTGGGTACTTTGATGGAGTAACTTCCTCTTCTTCTCTCTAGCTACTTCTTTATTTACAGCATGTTTTAAAAAAATTCCAAAGAGTACTTCATTGTTTGATCTTACTCCAAATCTAATATATTAAATTCTCGTGTCACGGTGTTTGTAATTGAACTCCTCCGAAACCGCTTGACCAATTTTCGTGAAACTTTGTGTGCATATCGGCCAGGGTGGAGAATCGGCCAATATCTATTTTTCATCCCCCTAAATGTTAAGGGTGGTCCACCCCAAACATTTTTTTCTAACCTACAAATAATTTATATGGCAAAACAACGTTTGCCGGGTCAGCTAGTAACATATAGTATATAACAATTAGCATTCTAATAATTCTATCAAACAGATACTTGAACACTAATATCGACTACTTCCTTGATCCCTACTACTTGCTGAACAGTGTTTGTCAAGGCTACCATGAGCTCACCTTCGTGAAGGTTCCCTTCGTGATCCCTGGTACGGCCGGTGATGGTAGCTGGACCCCTTTCGCCATCCTCGTTGAGGTTCACGTCGGTCCACGATTCGTCGTTGCTCACCTTCAAATTGACACGCTCTTTATAACTTTGTCAATATATTTACTTCTACTAATACTCCTTAATGCTTCTACTGTTCTTCCTGTTACCAGTTGCTTAGTATATTACTCAAATTACCCGCGTCAGATTAAACTGTTCGAAGTAGAGAAGTTTGATAGTTGTTTTGTTTTGTTTGATAGTTTTTGATTACGAGTACTGAAATTACCCATGTCAGATCAAACTGTTCAGTTAAAGCAGAGAACGTTGATCGTTTAAGTCACTATTTAGACAGATAAGACGCATATTATTATATTAACTTCGTGTCAATAAGGACGGATATTTCAGCTCCGTTTTTCTGTGATTTAAAAATTGTAGAGTAATGGACGAAAGATTTTGACCGCTGCTGAGATTTGAACTTGCGTTCTCCGGTTTAAAAGGCTCTAGCCACAGAGCTAAACGGTAAATCTTCACATCGACGAAAATCTCAACGTATTTATCTACTCTACTTTTAAATTGTTACAGTCCTAATTTATTTATTTATTTAATCTTTATTGCCAACCTTAAGTAAAACAAGGTAACAAGGGGGGCGGACTTGATGCCCAAAGGCATTAATCTACCAGTCAACCCAGGAATATATGCACTTAAAGATCAAACATTAAAATTAGTAGAAAATCCCACGTCTTCCGGGCGCGAATTCGCAAGATTTGGGTTCGATTCCCACAGCGGTAAACTTTTCGTCCTTTTTTCTACAAATTTTAAAACTTTTTACTACATTTTAAGCACTGCTTGACGCCATCTAGCGTGTTTCTGTGTATATTCCTTACGGGGTGTTTGTTATCGTCCATGGCGATTTCGCTTGAGGTCTCTGGGTCGTTGTTCGTGGTCTCCGTTGAGTTGAGGTGGAACGAGCCGGCGTCTTCAATCGAATCTACGCTCTGTCGGAACGTGAATAGAGTCTAAATTAAAATGGTATGTGAGAGGATTAATTGTGCTCTTCTGCGACGACATCGCAAGTGACTTTCCCATCTAGTATCGAGTGGTTATGTATTTAATTGTGAAAATGCACTTTCTCGTTGAACATTTGATTAGAAGCTGCAATTTCTGTTATTTTAATATACATAATTGATAAAATATGTTATTACCCACTTCTTAGTCGTCACGGGAAATCTTAAACAAATATGAACACAGAAGCCAGTTTGAGGATTGAATGCATGCAAATAGAAAAGTGAGGAAAAAAGTAGGGTGTAAGAAGCAAGCCAAAAGCATACATCATGCAAACACATATATAATATCTAAACAAATAATTCCTTATATTTTAATGTTCCTATCGCCTTAAATATTCTTATATCTTCTTCAGAACTTTTACTTTCATGTTTGTTTAATTCTATATATATTATCTTAACTGTTGTATAATTGATAAAAAACTTAAATACAGTAAATTAAATTTAGGAATACATTTCAGTTGATTTTACCAAGAATACAATACACGGCGTTTAGCATAAATCTACATATGTATATATTAATTTTAATAGTGTAGTGCTGAGTGCTGTTATTGTATTTGGTAATATACTTCAATACATTTTCATAATGACTGTGTACTTATATATCGTGAGCTTAGCGCTTGCCTAAATTTCACATGTTCCCACACAAATATATATGGCAATAGTATTGCCGTGACAAGCTTGTGTATTATCCGTTAAAGACAGAGGGCGCTGCTAACTGTAACTATTTCCGTCCACACTATATTAACATAATTAAGTATTTAAAAAAATACTGTAAATATTTGTATCAATTTAATATCGGGATTTTAATTTGAATTTGGAAAAAGTCAACAGATTATGAAAAATCATTTGAGTTCTTATGAAAATTTTACTACATCGATAAGGTATGGTCGTGATACTTAAATTTTTGTACCTTTGACTACAACCGGAGGCAGTAACCCGATGATATGAGACGTGCAATCTCATTCGCAATTGAGTTTATTTGACCAGATCTTTACCAAAGATTAGATTATCATCATGAAAATTCCTCAGGATAGCTCGTACCAGGACCGGCACAACTTGTAAATCAAGTTCTTAAGGCTATCGGTAAGTTTTCACGACAGGCCACTTGGCTGACGTCAACCCTCGCTTAGACGCTCGTTATAGCAGCAGACGCCCAGTGTCGTGTGTGTTCAAAGTGTTCACACTAAAATCTCGTGTCTTTAACCAAATCGTACAAACCAGATTGACCACTGATACCGTGATCCCCGACAACGTTTTGGACCTTGCGCTGGGTGGCTTCAGGCAACAGGACAACAACATCCATTTAGTACACAAGAAAGGTCATTAATCAAGTCACATTCAAAAACAGAAGTGGAAAAAGTATAAAGTTTAACGCAACTATGTCTAGAGAGATTTCACTGTAAGCAAGGACCAAATCTATTTATCTATTAGTTAGTTACAACAAAAAGAGGGGGGAAAAAACAACACCCATACAACCAACACCAATGTCCCAGTGTCGTAATTTATGCCGCCTTGTCCAGTGGGACGCAGGAGAGTGGAGAAGGGAGCACACTCTAATCGCTAACTATGCTTTGAACCACACCGAGGTTAGGACCTAGAAGACCACCAGCCGCCGCAAGTTAGGACCTAGAAGACCACCAACAGAGGGGGGACATGTTCGCTAACAGAGTGGTTTCGTCTAACCTTCGCTTTGGGCCGAGCGTTCGCGCGGAGGCTGGACTTGTAGAGCGGTTCCTCCCTCTCGGAGGAGGGGGAGACCTCCCCCCCGCGCGGCGTCGCCCCCCCGCCCGACTTCGGCCGCGCTTCGTCGGTGGTGGTTTCGATTTTCGCCACACCCCCACCCGTATCAACCTCCTTGAACGTTTCAACGCGCTCGCAAAACGAAAACGAAATCACAGCACGACAGTAATCAACGGAAGCGTCACAACACACACCGAGCGACGGATAAACTAATTATGCCAATGTAACGACAGCAAAATAAATACAAAGAAACGATTAATTCATGCATTGGACGCTGTGGCATTTAATGAGGGATATTACTCGATCGATACTGATTTTCTATTATTCGTAAAGTCTAAGCTACTGTAGAGGATTTTTTTCTGATTGAATGAAAAATGCAAGACTTAACTCGGAGAAATACTGAATGGATGGAAATAATAAAACTAATTTTACAGTTTTTATCATTAATACGTAACATACATTATCTACAGGTAATCAAAATAAAGAATGACGATTTTATCAAAACATCTAAATGTTAACAAAAAATTGAACCAGTTTCTAAGATATACGAAACTAAAATAACTATTATTTTCAACACTTTCGCTATACACAAATCTACGTAATCGGAAATTTTACCCAAAAAATGTAACGGCCGTAGATCCGAGTGATAAAAAAATAACAGGACGTTCATCCAAATTACGCATGCCAGGGGAATGCAGGCGTACACGAAACACTTTGACAGTCCAACAGATAATAAAACAAAGCATAAATCTTACCTTCATCGACGGAGAGTCCAACTCGTTCATAGCCGAATTGTTCTCATCTACGACAATCATAGCGTATTCGACGTCGTCTCCATTGTGTTCTAAGGAGAAACGTAAGGTGTTCATTAGCGGACGCGTCGTGGCAAATTTTTCCACTCGTCACAACATCAACAAAGCTTCGAACAAGCGAGGGATCTTATGGGAACTACTACGCTCAGAGGTTAACAATTTGAATTAGAAGCGAGAGTTTCGTTTGCATTAAGATACGGATTACAAGAAAGCACTCTAGTTCAGAAAGGGTCAGATTAGTCATATCGAATTTGGAAAAATTCCGTTTGCATCGAAAGAGTTGAGAAGGAGAATTCTTAAAATCTAAACTCACTATCGTGTAAGAAATAAAGATAATTAAAGGAAATCAAAAAGAAAAACGAATAAGACAATCTATTCTAGTCTACGATGGTAGATGATGTTGCAAATAAAAATTGAAAGGGAAACAGAAAACACAGCGGTGCTAAAGCGGTGCCGGTACATGCTGTTTTGTCTTAAACGCGACTCTCGCACTTACAGTGCTAAGCATTGAGTCGATTATTGTCCGAACAGACGAAACAGCTGTTGCGTACATCGACCACATTGATTTTAAACGCTCGCATCACATCTTCACGACTACATTGACAATTATTGGACCGTTGAAAACACCAATACACCTCAAGTGTTAAATCTTATCGCTACTTATAAACGTTGTGCATGATAGTCTCAAACATTAATCATTTCGATCCAAGCGGAAACTGCCGATTGGTTAAACTGTCAATATGACATTTACATTCCCGATACCACTTTATGTCTCGTGTGTGTTTAAGTGTCACTTATACATAGCCTTTTTGATGTCGCTATTAGACATATTTTCGTTTCTAAGAACGAATTGCGGTTTCTATTGTGAAACGACTCAGTAGGGCTCCATGTCCTTTTCTAAAGTTTTAGGTAGGAGTCAGCCCTTGAAATTAACAATTTCACTGGTGCCGGCGGCGGGATTTCAACTCAGGTTGCTCGAGTATATTGAATTAGAAGCGAGCGACACTGAGCTATCACGGCGATCACGGTGGTTACGGTCGGTTGTCGGCGGTTTCCGGCGGTGTCGGGCGGTGCGATGCGATGCGGCGCGGCCGTTTACCCGCGTGCGCGCGGTAGCTAGCGATGCGTGCGTGTGCGTGTGCGTGTGCGTTGTGCGCTGCCGAGTGCGCGCACTCCAGTTTGCAGTGCACGTGGCGGTGAGCGGGGTGCCCACCGGGCAGGAACTGGGGGTACACGTGGTGCGACCACTGCGGGAACAGGGGGCGCGAGCCGCCTGCGGCGCGGGAGATTAGGGCGCAGGGAGGCGCGTGACGCGCGGTGGGGGGAAGCAGAAATAGGTACGCGTGTGTACAGGGCACGGGTTCGCAGAAGTTTAGAAGAGGAAGCAGAGAATGTAGCAGAAATATGGATGCGTTCATGAACAAGATATACACCGGAGGCGGAATTGTGCGAAGCGAGGACAGTCAGGAAGTAGATGCAGTTAAGAGGCGATGCGTTCAATCGAAAAAGATAGGGACGGGTGAAACGATAATGTCGAACGAAGGCATTCAGCCAGATTGGAGAAACGTGAGGGATCGGAACGCATCGAAATCGGCACCGATTCGTAGCGTCGTGAAGCAGTAAAGAGAGTCAAACAACAGTCAAAAACAAACGCCGGTGGCGATGGATGTTGTGTGGTGCGGGATGTGACGTGTGTGTGTAGCGTCGGTGTGGCGGTTCGAGTAATAACGTAGACGATTTTACCAGGTGTTCCCGAAACCGTGACGCGTTTCAAGCGGCGTGAAAAAGAGGAGAAACGGCACATTCAGATATACACATTGTGAGTACATTGAGTACAGCTCGATATCCGTTATTACCTATTGTCAGGGCCTCTGATACCGAAGACCTGATAGCAAACTATACAACGTTGATAAAACAACGTATATTGTGTTAAAACATTATTCAAATGTAACTTAAACTAATGTCAGCCGCACTAATGTCTATTGGCACTTTAAAAGAAAAAGAAATCATTTATTTGTGAAGAACTTCTTATTACTGAGTGTTTAAGAAATTCTCAAATAGACGTATTCATTTCTATTTGAGTGTCAATTGACGTCTCTGAGTACGGACTGATGCGTTAAAGTATCTAAGCACGCTACGGCCTTGACAATATGTAGAAATTGTTGAGTAATTGAACAGAATAATTGTCACATAAATTTATTTCCTGGAAAAAAACTTTTGAGTGAAAATATGGTCTCATAAATTTGTGCGAAAAAGCATTTATCGAGAAGCAAAATAAAGGTGAGACTATAAGTAAAATATTTATTTATTTAACTTAATAATATTGTCGAATAATTTATGGCGCAATGGAGGTAAATTTGTGAAGGAAAGACGCAAAAAATTAAAATGAAAGAGACCTATAAATATGAAATTAAAAAATAAACTGAAATATCTTAAAAAAGTAATAATATTAAATAAAGAATAGCGCGATGAAAAGGTGAATTAAAATTTATAATTTTAACTACGAAATTTCGGTCATATCTGGCATATACTGTAAAACTTTTTAGGAAATAAAAAGTTGTCAAAATAAAAATTCTACCCATAAATGAACTTTCAAAAATATTTGAAATAATACAGTCTTTCTAAAAGCATAATATAAAATTATGTAAATATGAAGCTAGTTGCTAGTGTTGTTAAAAATGTGTTTGGCCTATAAAATGTATGTCTTTAGTTCCTAGAAAGATGCAATTTATTTTTATTTTAAACATTGACATTGCAATAGAAACTGCGCAGAACATAAATAAACATTTACATACATATATATTTACACTAATGTGTAATTTCTTAATTACAAAAAACGCATAAAGTTTCGGAGACCATCTTGGATTTGATGACAACGATTTTTAGAAGCATATATAAATAATAAAATTACATCCTAAATATAAAATCTGAGACTGTATTTCTCTCCGAATAATACGTTGAAACGAATTTTAAATACCAATTCTGGACATCTTTGAAAGAAAATAGCGAAGATGTTCCGGTTCCGTTTCGACGCAGATCCCGTGGCTCCGTAATGGGCGCCATAAATCTCAAATATTCTAAAGTGAATCGATCGTTCGAGCCCTATTGCATTTCTCAAAATCACACGGCGAATCAGAGCCGAGGTCGTTGGCGGTGATGGGGTCGCGGGCTGGTGGGGGGGATTACCGTGGTGGTCGTGGTGGTGGGTGCGTCTGGTGGCGCAATCGGGCCGCGCGTGCGGCGGGGGCTCCAGAATGTCACGGTACTTGGAGACCATCAGCACCGAGATGAAGTAGACGATCGCCAGCGATAGGAACTGGGCCTGTTTCGTCTCCTCCTGCGGAACGGACACTCGTTTCTTTCTCACTTGATTCCAGAAAAACTAATTCCTTAGACATAGAATTGAATAATCTGTGTGCAAGAAAACTTCATCAGAAGAAGATCGATCGGAAGTGTAAATAAAATCCATTGTCACGATTGGTTTTTCATTTTCAGCCTTACCACATCTCTGTATATCACTGCTCGGAGCCTGTTAACGTCCATGTCTTGGAGCAAACGTTCGGGGTCCTTCACTGGGCTCGAAGCATCGGCCAAGCTAGCGACCACGCTCTGGTAAAGTCAACATTAACGTATCAAAACCCAATAGGACAATTGTAAAAAATAAACAAATTATACCTTATAACTGTCGTGGGGGGTCGTGGGTTCGATTCTCACACGGGACGGTGTTTGTTCCTAGCGAGGATTGATGATAAGCAGGCGACTGGTAGAAAAAAACCCTACCCTAAACCACTTAAGACATGATTCACATGTTATGCCTATCACATCTAGGTGCGATAAAGGCAGTTGAATGATGATGAATTGTCCCCATTTATTCCCCATCATATCCCCATAAAATTCCCATCTCATAAGTTATATGAAGTGTCAAAGTATGACCTCGCTTATAATTTACGTGTCAGTAAACTGCTCAGTATCCAGCATTCCTCATAATAGCCTCTTCTTGAACTGTGCCTCGAAATCCAAGATGGACCCAAAGTCAATAATATATCGTTACCTATCCCATTCCAGACTGTAGGTACCCCCTTTCTCAATCAAGCCCATACGTGATGTTAATCTCATTACATGCAGTATAGGTTAATTTGCTGCCACTGATACCCTATAATAGGAGACTAAACTAAAATTTTGATCCTAGTTAACGAAGTAAACTGCTTTGCTAATCACCAAACTTCTACTTCGATTGATAGATATTTGCATGCAAAACGAGGTAATTCTACAATTATCTAGACAACTATTATTAAAATATATCATTAATAAAAACAGTCAGTAAAACGAATTTCAGAATTATTTATTAAAGTACAGTACAATGTTAAAACTTGTAGAAAAAATGGACAAAAAGTTCTTGCTGAGGGAATCGAACCCACGTCTTCTGGTTCTTGTTTTCCTCCTCAATATCTGTCCGTACATTCTTCAAGTAAGGTAGCCTCTATCACAAATATGTAGATCAAAGTGTTAGGTCCACATCCTCGCTCACCTTAGAGCTTGAAATGAGAGTAGAGCCAAATCGACTCTACGTGTGCATTCCTTCCTCACCTTGGAAGCCGGAGAGTCTGGGGCCCTAGCAGCCCTGGCGGCGGCGCAACGCTGCCTCTCTTTGCACTCGAGGCAGTTTCGGACCGCGCACGTGCAAACCTGCGCACACGCTACCGGCTACAAGCTACGTACTCGCTACGCACACGCTACGATACACGCACGGTACGTATGCAACGCTTACGTGCTACGCACTGAGGCGTAGCTATGGAACCTCATTCCATCCTAAAAGTTTCCAATAGCTGCGCACAGACCACGCGCTGAACGTATGCAACACAAATACGTCGTGTAATTTCAGATTTGCTACTCGCTACAGCGTAGACCACTACATCAGCCAAACGTGATCCGTGTATTGTGTAGACTGTGCTACATACTACGCGCGGTCACGTTTGTGCTACGGGCCGTATACGCTAAGCAACGAGTATAGTAGAGACGCGTAAGTGCATTTTTCTCTACACTAAACACTTCTGAGTGTCGTAAGAACAATGAACTTTATTAATAATACTAAATGTTTATTAAAATAAAACGTATCAATAGGGTTAGTTGTATTAAGTTTTAAAAGTACAAGCATAGGAAGATAATAAGAGATTATTACAGTATACTTCTGTAATCAGCATTTGAAGTATGATTTACAACATAGTATATCGTTTTAAACAAGATGTATGGAGAAACTAAATTTTCTAGTTATTTATAGATGGCACTATTTGATAAAGAAAGAAACCCGATCTAGACAAAGCATTAACATCCAAGAAGCGATACTGTCAAACAAATTATAGGTCACGTAAACGATTCGGTTCTATTATGTCTGTCTATATACTGTATGTATTTAAAACATTTTAACTGTATGACAACATCTATTTATACCAAAATTATAAACTACTGTAGTACCGTCGACGATGGAAGATGGAATAGCATGTACCTTTAATACAGACAGATATTTTTGTTTCTTTTAAAACGGTTATAGCGAATAATACCGCGTCAAATTTCTGTTCACATTTAAATATATTAAAAAGACGACTAAAGGAATTTAGTTCAGTTTTAAACGCTGTATCATGGACAACCTTGGCTTCCACCGTCGCATAACCTAGGAAGGGAACCTATCCCCGGATCCTCTCATACTGACCACCAGGAAGAGACACTCGTCCATGGATCCAGCCATACTCACCAGCCTCAGGCACTGCCTCAGTATCCCGCCGCTGGACATGTTCTTCTCGGCCTCCAGCTCGGCGAAGTTGAGGGCGCTGGCGAAGATGAGCACGTCCGCCATGCTGACCAGCCGCTGCAGGAAGGTCACCGCCACCTCCACCGGCATGCCCTGCGTCGGCTCGATCACGTCCAGCTCGTTCTGGGGACAGGCTCGCGTCCTTCACACGGCCGACGGCAATTCTCACAGATCTCGGCAAGAGATATCGCTGGTACAGATCGAGGCGTTTGAATTACAGATCGAGGGGTTTGAATTAACGTTCATATCAATCGTTGTGCTGAAACATCACTCATAGTCAAGTTTGCTTCGAACATTGCAGTGTTTTGATTATGCATTTTCATAGTGAATTATAAGTAAGATTTTATGTAAGCGACTATAATCTGTCACTAGTTAAGTGTATCGTTACTAAATTAGACCAATCCTGACAATACTAATAAAAAAAATCCTGATAAGACTTAAAAATTACTTCCCGCTTTTATTCCTTTCCATTTTTAAGATGACACACGACACAATTAAAATTAGATTTAAATTAACAGAAACAGAATATATGCGTGCTCCATTAGAACATAGAAACAGCGAATAAAACAGGCATACAACATACTTTTGATTTCTGTTACATCGTGCTTTAGCAAAACCTATTTACGTTAAAGATGAAACTTTCTGTTTCTAAATTTCCTATACACATTTAGGTTTGTTCTAAACTTTCCTCAGTCACGATTATGAAATCGGTAAATGATTGATGCTCGTCTTAATAGAATCAATAATGTGAGTTGTTCCATATGAGAAGTGGGGTATTCACATTGGGCGAGGTGGCCGAGGCCAGCAGCGGCAGCAGGCCGCCGCAGGCGATGATGAGGTTGTCCGCCAGCTGGCTGATGAGGTGCACCGTGTTCACCACGAAGATGGAGTTCTCGCTGCTGTTCACGAAGTCTATCACCGACTTGGTGGAGTGGCTGCGCCACACCTGCGGCCGAAACAGCTCACGCTTGTCAAAGGAAAACTGTAGCTTCAACCATTAATAACCAAATTTAACTGTCCAACTATAATATGCTGTCTACTATGAGAGTGCTGCCTATACTTTTCTGATGTTTATTTATTTAGTTATTTATTTAATGAACGCCAACATAATGACTAAAGAAATTAAATATACATCAACTATTAGTGTCATTACAATTAAAGGCGCCGACAGCATGCAATATTATGGGCAAAAAAAATACAGTTAAAAGAAACAGTTGTTTGTTACTAAATCCAAAGGTACAATAAAAGCTAATAAATATAAAACAAACTGTTGACCATAGCTGTATGTAAATAAGGCTTTATCTGTTTTTTGAAGGTTCATTGATGACCATGTCCATAATCCATATCTGTCATTTACGTGAGGACGTCTTTAATAACATTGGAGAGGGTCCCGGTTACCTCACTTGCTCATTGCAATAGCAGAAGGTGCAGCAAGGCATTGCCGTAGCATCATCGTAGCGTAAGCCGCAGCAAAGCTTTGCCGTAGCAGCTTTGTAGCCAAGCCGCAGCAAAGCTTTGCCGTAGCATCTCCGGCTGCAGAATAAGAGCGTCTCACCTGTATGTCCGTTTCGAGCGAGAAGAGCACGTCGGAGAGGAGGCGCTGGTGGATGTAGGACCAGCGGAACTCCGGGATGCGGAAGGGCGGCCTCGTGGGCCCAGGGGAGAACATCGGCCGGTTGCACTTCGTGGGCCTCTTGCTCTCTGCTGATTGTATACTGGGATCATATTACTGACGACCCGGTTGGCGTAGTGGATAGCGCTTAGTTTGGAACTAGATAGCGTTGTGTGAAAACATATCTTGAAACATTTATTATTATTATTTATTTGTATTTTTAGGTGGGGGTAGAAGTTCCAACGATCACTGCGACACAATAACTAGGCAACTGCGCCACAAATTCATCTCAAGATAGTGTAAGAGACAATTGACACTTTGAAAATGTCATTAAATTGCTCTGAAAAGCATATCTGATGGTGTTACCGCTCTATGTATGCCTGTAACATTATTCTATTATCTTTATTATTTCTTAAAGATGTTTATCTGTCTAAATGCCATAATATCCATAATACTTCAACAAACTTATTGTTTCAAACACTGGTTTGCCGCTATTGACGAAAAATAGATAAGTAGAATAAAGTTAATGCTTTCGTTTTAAAAAAAACTTTAATATAGAAATTTCGTATAAAGAAAATGCAATCTATTAACAAGGAATTGAATCGATGAAGTCATTAAAATAGTTTCGTTTAGGAATATGTGGATATAAATATAAGCATATACCAAAGTGGAGAACGTTAGTTCGAACTCACCGAAATGATTAGAATCGACCTGCGTGCTCGTAGAGGCGCTACGAGGCCGTTTGGGCGAGGCGGACGTGTTCGTCCCCTGCGAGGCCATCTCCCCTCTGCCGTCCTGCTTCATCTCGTCGTCGCCCGGCAAGCTGACGCGTCTCTTCTCCCTCTCGCTCTCACGCCCTCTCTCTTCCGCGTCCGCCTGCTCCTTCTTGTTCGCGAGCGAGATGTTCTCGCTTATCGTCGAGATCGGCGGGATCTGCGGCACGTCGTGCTCCTCCGTCTCCGTTTCCGTTTCCTTCTTCGCGCTCTCCTCTGTGACTTTGGCCTTGAACGTCTCCAAGTCCGGCTCCTCGCTGGCGACGGCGAACTCTCCGTCCAGAGGTAGAGCGTTGCCCTCGACCTCGTGCTCCGAGGGTGCAGCCATCGCGTTGGCTTCCTCTCGCTCGCTCTTCGCGACGACGCTCGCGATCAGTTCCATGACCAGCTCGCCGGCGATGGTCTCCACGGCCTGCTTCCGGCCGATCATCTCCTCGATGTCGTGCTCGAAATCGTCCCTGCCGTTGGGCGTGTTGCCCTCCGAGTGCTGCCCCCCCGAAATGGCCCCGGAGTCCGTGTCGTCGTCCGCTTTCGACCGCACCGTCTCCAGAGCGACGGATAGGACGTCGTTCACTATGTTGATGGCGATGTGCTTCGGGTCCTCGCTTATCGTCTCGTCTGGACTCTCGATTTCGGTCTTGTCCTTCTTGGGGCTAGTCGCCTCGCTCGGCGTCAAGTACAGCTCGGACGGGTCGGACAGTTCCGACTCCCGTTCGTTAATGACATTCATGTCCGAAACCTTTTCCGGGCTGGCCGTCTCGCTGACGGACAGGCTCGACGGTATGCCCTCGCTCTTATCCGTGTTGTCGTCCTTGACGAGCGAATCGCCGACGTCCCTCACGGGGATGTAATCGAGGCTGCCCTGCCGGCTCAGCGGCCTCTCGCTCTCCACTTCGACCGCCACATCCAATTCGGAGCCGTCCAGAAGTCTATCCTGGACGATGTGCAAATCGTCGTTGGGCGCGTCGTCCACTGCGTGCTCGCCTTCCGCCGCATCGGGGGCCTGTTCAGCCGCGCTGTGCACTCTGCACACCTCGCTGTAGAGCAGGGTCCCAGCGTCCCCCCGCGGGTCTGGGGCGCAGTCGCAGTCGAGCTGCCGCAGACTGGGCCCGTCGCCGATCTCGGTCTGCGCCGCGTGGTGCAGCCGCCCCGCCGGGGAAGGGCCCTGGCCCTGCCGCGCCTGAGGGGCGCCGGCCCGCTCCCAGCCCGAAATGGTGGAGATGGGCCGCTGCTGCCTCTCGGCCGGGTCCGTGATGTTGTCCGCCCTCCGCTGCTCGTAGTGCTCGTACATTTGCGCGAACTGCAGCTTGAACTCCTCGTACGACACCTGTGAATCGTTAATAAGTTAATTAATGTTACAGGGCGTATTTTTACGCAACGCTATCTACCAAACTGAGCAAAGCTTGTACTATTTTTATTTAAGTTAGTTAGTTTAGCGTTTATTTAAGTACTTAAACGTACTTTTCTTTTGTAAATAAATACATATTATTGATATATGTATTTATTTTCGTGGCAGTCTATGGGCAAGCGTATGTTCAGCAGTGGATTCCAACAGCTGAAATGATGATAGATATATAAACACCCAGACAATAAGAAACCACTATGTTCGTCACACAATATTTTTTCACTAGTGGGGATTGAACTCAGTGCCTCTGGCGCAAAACACAGGGTTACTATCCACTACGCCGATTGGATAGTCTAATTGTTTCCATGAACGACGAAGTTTCGTTAACGTAAAAAAAAAAGAGTTATATAAGTGTAACGTGTCTGTCTGTCTGTGGCATCATAGTTTCTTAACGAATGGAATGATTGCAGTGTGATTTTCTCGATTGAAAGTTACTACTCTATGATCGAGATGCTTCTCAGCTGTAATTAAAGTTTTTTTTGTGTCAGAAAGTTACTTATAATTTATAATTTTATATTAGCAGGGCCATCCAGGAAAGTACCACGACCTCACGGAAGACCGGCGTGAAGTGGAAGTGTTACACTTCTGCGTTTCGTCTGATGAGTGAGGTAGCCGGGGCCCACTTTATTAAAAGTGAACATCGGTTGAACCGCCATGTCGCTAGCGACCTTCTCATTTAAATTGCGATGCGTTGCAATTATTTCCACCACGGATGGACTGCAGCGATGCAAAACCGATCCGCAAAAATGATGTCGCTTTAACGGGAATCGTCCAGTCGGATCGGTCTCCGGCGTTAGGAGCAACACTCGACACGTTTCAAAGAGCGAGCCATGCTACGATTCAGAGCTCTGTTCAAAGGGACCCGCGAATGAAGGGTACAAGTCGGACGCCCTCACCTTGGAGTGGACAATCGCCAGGGTGTCCACCCACACCCGCCAGCCGCCGTACTCGTGCTTGATCGCGTGGTGCAGCAGCATGCGGAACAGCGAGTAGACCATGTCCGAGATCTTCTGCTCCTCCGCGCTCTTCGGGTGGATGTAGGCCATCGCCACCAGCCACTCCTGCCACACGGACATCTGCAGCACCGTGCGCCTGTTCTCGCGGTTGTTGCTGCACAGCAGCGTCATGTCCGAGAGGAACAACTTCTTCACCTCCAGCAGCTGCTCCGTCTGCTTCGACTGCCGGATCAGTGTCGCCACCACTTTCAGTATCACTGGAAATTGGAACGCCGATGTCAGTCCGATCGTTTGTAGAGCAAATCAAATTTTTAACGTTTCGTGATTCCATCATGTGTCTTCTATGCGCTTTACTCAGAAGACTCAGGTTCGAATCCCGATCCGAAGGAAAAAAGAAATTTAACAGGAACGGAAATTAATACAATAGGACCTTCCCATACAGTAGTACTAAATGTATTTTAACAATATTTTAACAGCTTGATTTGACTGCATTGCAACGAAAATAGCTTTGTAAGAGCACCTAGATAAAATTAAGGTGCACATATAATAATAAAAATAATTTTCCACAGTTGCTTTATATCCACGTGGCTTTGCTGGCTCAACTACAATTCTTATACGGGATAATTAGGTACGTGGTACTACGTAGAAACGTTATAAAGTGACTAAAAGACGGCGGTCACAATAAGTATATCAACTGTATTTCTTGTATGGTAAATATTCAATGAAAAAAAAAATTTTATAAAATGTAGCCACGGATATTAACGAAACGGTTTCAGTCTTGTTATGGGGGGAGTGAGGGGGAAAGTGGTTCCGGGGTTTTAAGCGGTTTTCAATACTAATATAAATGCAAAAATAACTGTCTGTCTGTCTCGCTTTCACTCCAAAACTACTGAACCGATTTCAATGAAATTTGGTACACATATAGTCTAGAGCCTCAAAAAGGACGTATTTTTTGATTGGAAAAAAGTGTTTTAAAGCGACATTCAACGCGAGCGAAGCCACAGGAGAAAAGCTTTAGTAAAGCTAGTATTATATATTCATTTATCATAGCGGGGGGGTCGGGGGTTCGAAGCGGTTACGTCATTCGTTTATTTATGATTCAGAAATCGATCTCACTGGGGTTCTCGAGGCGGAAGTGCGGCTGCGGCTCCGGGTGGTTGGTGTAGAGGATCTGCTGGCCCACGTGCTCCGTGAGCAGCTCGTAGAGCGCGTTGTAGACGGGCAGCGAGAGCGTCTCGCCCAGCGAGCAGAGCCGCGTGGCGAGCAGAGTGTACAGGTTGTGCGGCGACATCACGTCGTACTTGCGCCTGGGGGAACGGAGCACCGCCATTGGCGGGTTACTGCGTCAGAGCACCGCCATTGGCTAGTTTCTACGAACGTACAACGCGATTGGCCCGTTAACTATGTCCATACGCAGCGATTGGCTCACTTGTACGCGCACATTCTGCGATTCGCTCGTTTCAAAGCCCAAATAACGCGATTGGCACGTTACTATATCCGTTCGCCGCGATTGGTTCGTTTCTATGGCCATTTTGTGATGGCTCCGTGGCGTGGTTTTAAAGTGATGGCTTCCGTGCCGAGGGTCGTGGGTTCGGTTCCCCCGCGAAACAACAAATTCTGTGACCCTGGGTCTGATTGTTTGTTCCTCATTACACAGGATAATGTTGTCCTAAAGTAAGGACAACGTTATATAAAATAAAAATAAAAAGACATCATAGCTTGGAATCAATTACGCATTTTTAAACGTACTTGTGTGTGCTTCTGCTCAGGAAGAAGCCGAGGAGTTTCAACGCTTGGAGTCTGATCATCTGGCTCTCTGAAGCCAGCAGTTTGAAGATGGTCCTCACTCCCCCCTGTGGGAATTATCAACGTTGAGAATCTAATGGTGCCTTTGGTAGGATCAACAGCTTCTGCTGTTGCAAAAACCGGCATACCGGTCCGGGAAATTACAAAGGACTCATAGGAGACTGGCGTGTAGCAGAAGTAATATAATTTCGCGTAACGCTTAATGAGTGAGTTTTAAAGTTGCAACCCCTGTGGGTTATTCGAGATATCCACAGATAAAACCCAAAACGAGGCACCTGTTCGCTTGAACACGTTTCAAATAGAAGATAAAACTATGATACACTAGTTCTCACTCTAATAAGGCCATCCAATGCCTTCTGCGGTTGCAGAAATGGGCAGACTGGTACGTAGAAGTACCACAGTGAGGCTGTGGCAGAAGACCACTAATAGTTTATCATTTATTTACGCTTCGACTTGATAAGTGTGGTAGAACTTGCCCATTATTTTAAAGTTGTGTTATAAATGTCCATGGGCGGAGGCAATGACTCATCTTCAGATGAAACGTTTCGAACACGGTGAAAAATAAATATTTCGGGAAATATTTTTAAGCGATTTTAAATAATCACAAACTAATCAAAGATAATACTTTGTCAGGAAACTTTTTAAACATCCTTAAACATAAATTTCATGTGATTGTTATTACTATAGATATAAATAGCCATACAATTTTTTCACACAATATTTTTCCACTAACAGAGATCGTAACCTGAGAGACAGTTAACGTAGTTTACGAGACTGGTTTACCGTTTACCCAGTTTTACCAGTTTACCCGTTACGACCTGGGAACCTTCAAAAAGAAAGCGTACTCTTTCTTAAAAGGCCGGCAACGCATTTGTGAGCCCTCGGGTGTTGCAGGTGTTCATGGGCGGCGGTAATCAGTTACCATCAGGTGAGCCTCCTGATCGTTTGCCCCTTTTCTCCATTAAAAAAAAAAAAAAACTGTGTGCACTACAACAACTTCTTTAACCGTGCCAACTTTAACTGATCTGGCAATCTTTACCTTCGCGTCGAAGGCCGGAACCATCGAGCTGGGGTGCTCCGACATCAAGGAGATGAGCATCTGCAGCACGTCGTGAAGATTCTCATCCTGGAACACGCAATCGAATAACGAGGACTAAATTCCAATGTACGACCGTTATACCTTTTATACAATTCTAATTGTACCTTTTATACAATACTAGCTGTAAGCCGCGGCTTCTCCCGCGCGATCAAAAGGAGTTACCAATGAGTTTTTGTATTATAAACCAGAATATAGCTCGCAGATTATTAGCCACCTGACTATTTTAATAACAAATTTACACATTTCTTTTTTATTTATTTCTAACTCAAGGTAAGACCAAGCTAATTAAGTCAATAGACTTGCCAGACGCACTTGTTATACTCTTCTTACTCACAGTATAATAGAGTTCATAATAAAACAAAAATAATAATAAATAATTCAATATGTATAATAATAATAAATAATCATAATAATAGAGTTCTTAGAATAGAGTTCAGTTCAATACAATTTGTGTTCTCATAAAGGTATAATAGAAGGTAATAACAAAAGAGAAACCATCAACATGTCATTGAAAATGTGTACGTATTACATGTAGGAGGACAATATAGCGTAGTGAAACAGGTCTAGTGACAGCTTACCTCGTGTATTGTGGTCAGATAGTTGAGGATCGACTGCAATTCGTCCTCCTTGACCCCGTTCCCGATCATGATGAGCTGTTTCAGGAACAGCAGGATGTATGCGCGGATCGTGAGGATGTCCTTGTGTGCCGGCCGGGGGCCCTCTGTGGTGACAAAAGTCGGTGATGGCCCATCAATTGTTGGCGTGTTGGCAACACTGTATACCGGATATGACGTTATCTACTCGAGCCAAGGGACACATGGTCGAATGGAGTCACTTGAATTTCGGCTGCGTTCCCGGACAGTGATACAACCACTAGTGCTACTTGTCGTTATAATAGTTGTTAATATTCAAGCTCAGAAATAGTTAAAATATTAGAATCAAAGTAATAACGTTCGAACTCTTATACAATTGTTTTCACTTTGCATCTTTTCATTTTTTATAAAATACACCTACTTAGTTAAGCACCAAAAGGTATTTAAAAGGTATCTGTTATGACTCAAGTATTCGAATAGGAGACTAGTGTCCGTTTTCTTCATCGATCCCTAACTTTAAGGGAGACCTAAAAAATTAAGTGTTAGTTTCCTTTTCATCACCACTTAAGTGTCACGCTTAAGGTTTCAGGTCTGTCTGTCTATCCGTCTGTCACCAGGCTATATCGCATAAACCATGATAGTTAGACAGGTGAAATTTTCACAGATGGTGCATTTCTGTTGCCGACGTATAACAACGTCGTTTTTAGGTGTATCTTAAACTTAGGAATCGATGGTGATAACGGTCAAAGTCTAGTTTAAATGGTGTACTCATTTTTGATTTTAGACACAAACTGTTGAGTATACTAAATTTGGACATATCCAATTTACATTCGCTGAAATAAAGCGTCTCCCATGTGCAAATATTTTTAACACACGAAAAACATAACTGTACGACAAAATAGAAACTATTGCTTTTGAATTCGAATCTAAAGACCCATTTACACGGTGCAAGTTTCTTGCCTGTTGTATACAATTAAATTGAAGCAATAAATGAGTTGCATGGTCTAAACAACAAATAGTCTAACAAATTATTGCGCGCAATTTATTGCATTCAATTATTGCTCTTGTATGTACAAGAAAATGGCATCGTGTAAATGGGCCTTAAGGAAAGTGATTCAAAAACACGTTTCAAATAAAGTTTACTTTATTCAGGTTCCCTGGCCTGATCACGATAAAACTATCTTTGGAACAAACTAGACCTACATTTCGCAGGAGCACTGAATTTATTAATCGCACACAATCAGTTTCTTCGAAACTAGGTCCACGACTTGACTCAAGTCGATTGCGATAAAGATCTTCCCCGTGATGGACGGTCGTCGGATAAATGCGATATCGCTTTAGTAAATGGGCTGGAGCGCGTTGCCTTGACAACGATGGATTCGTCGCGATTTCGTCGCGATGCCTCCGCTATAATGTCTCCATCTTCCGGGAGATGGATTGTTTCCGGGCGGTCGTTTTTCAAGTACTTAAAGTCGATCCCTTTGCTCTATAATTCTTTTTTTTTAAACAAATTTCATAGAAATTTAGGAAGGTTTTAATAGGTTAAGGCTACGTTCTGTCCGTAACAGGCAACACAGTTTATATGTATATTGCAAAGGTAGTTCAGATAAACATTAAAATTTGTAGAAAAAAGTCGTTTAGCTTAGTGGATAAGTATCTGAGCATAAATCTGGAAGACGTGGATTCGAATACTGCAGTAGCAAAAATGTTTACGTCCTACTACCAATTTTTTCGTCGAGATAGAATATTGACGTAAATATTATGAAGCAAATGTCAAAATACCTATTGCTAGTAACCAAATCTATCTGTAGATTGAATATTCAAAGCGGCCGTCAAGCGCAGAGATTAGAGCTATAAAAAATTACAAGTCTATAAAGGGTTAATTTCAAGTGTACAGGCAAAGCCCTACATTTTATATTGTATAACAAAAATGCACACACGACACATTGACACTTGCAAGCGCTCTTATGCGCGACCTACTTTTATACTTTAGTTCGTAATTACAATTTTAATATTGTTTAGTGCAGTAAAAGCATCAAGCGTAGGTAACTCACCCATCCCTTTGGGCGTGATGCCGCTCTTAGCCCTCGGGTTGACCACCCAGTAGTAGTATTTCAGGGTGTGCACGGTCTGCAGCACTGTGCTGACCCTGCGCACGCTGCCGTAGATGTGGGCGTCCGCCAGGAAATCGGTGGCCAGGTAGCAGTAGAGGCGCGCCTGCACCGCGGCCGGCGTGTGGATCCACAGCGCGGGGTTGAAGAGGATGTGGTCGAGCAGCTGCCACGTGAGGAAGGATTGGCAGAAGGACTGAGGTTAGCGTAGACTTATTACTGTCCGACGGTCGGTAGCGTGATGCCCTCTTGCTATGTCACTTGCCTACGCGAGAGTACTAAATATTCCCATTTTCCCGTGCATTTCACTGGGTACGATAAGTTTGTGCATGCAACCAAAAGTCAGGTACTAGAAAAGCATTTGCTTTGATTCGTGAGCCTCTCATTGAAGAAGCAGTGTTGAAATAAACTCAATGGCAGTGAAGAGTATATTTTGCCAAAAAATCTTTAACCCATCATCTTGTTCCCATCATATTGAACGAATACAACAATTTCTATTGAATTTCGCAACGGATACAAACTCTGTATTCATCGCTTAACTTCTGTGTAGTTATAGGATAAAAAAAAAATTAGATGAAAAATAAGAAAAAGTATGATGAATGTTAAACTGAAATAAAATATACTCTCATTCGTTTCGAATTTACGTCATGAATAAAAAACAAATCTCTCTCTATCTCCCTCTCTTTCTATCTCTTATGGTTTTCATCTCTTATCCGGGGAGTGCATTTCTTCTTTGTGTGGGAGCGTAAAAAGTGAATAAGCAAGAGGAGCATGCGCTAACAACCATCGACAAAATGAAACACCAACGTTTTTGAGGTGGTGGGTGAGTTGCCGATTCATTCAGTGATGAAACAGATCGGGCATAAAGCGTAACGTTTTATACCAGTCTCGAGGATAAAATTTATGATACGAAAAGTTTCAGCACAGAATAAATAAAAAATTAAAAAACATTACTGAAAAAAAAAGGTGATGTGTTGGTGGTAAAAGTGATATAAAGGTAAATTAAAATAATAAAATGCGCAGCCTTAAATTCGTCCCTCTGTGTGTCTACGCCAAAGCGGTGCGCAGTATCCCTGCAATTTTATTCGATCTATACTTACCTTTAAGCTTTTATTATATACAACCTATCCCATTTTACCTTGACCTTATGTATTCGATCTACAACTGTACTCTGTTAATTAAAGTGCATAATAACTGATATTCACAGCAAGTGACAGCAATGTGGTTTCACAATCTCATTTTACAAGTTCAATACTGACGACTAAAGTAATTATAGTAATATTTTTTCCACTTTTACAAAATACTGTCACGTGGATTCAATGCCGAATGAGTAATAACAAGATAAAACAATCAAATTTTAATCAATAAATCAGGAGTAAAGGAAAATTAAGGTATTGAATCGCACAAATGAACATAAGTGATTTATAAAATAGGTATAACAAAAGACCATAATATTCATTTATTATGACCTCGTATCCAGCAAGAAACACAAGAAATTTCATATCTGTTGTGTAAAGATAAAAATTATATTTTATAAAAAAAAGCACAAATATTCCGCACGACAAAAACATAAATTGGAACTAGAACTAGAATCTAAAATTAGAACTTTGAACGGAAAAGGGCTTCGGTGTCGGGGGTCGTGGGTTCGATTCCCACATGGGACAACTATTTATATCACCCGCAGATAGTTCTTTCATCGTGTTAGTAGAATGTCCTTACAACACATGATAATGTTGTCCTAAAGTAAGAGCAATGTTTTTAAAAAATAAAAATATTACGTAACATCCTTTTGAGAAGATAAACATATCTTCGAAGCGATAGTGACGCACCTGCTTAAGTAAGAGATCCGAGTTTGGCGAGCAGCAGGTGACCAGGTGCTTGGTGAGGTGCAGGAAGGAGGCGAGCGTGTCGGGGGTGAGGTGCTCGCGACCGCACCGCTGCAGCATGTGCGAGACCACGAGGAAACCGCGACACTGCAGCATGTGCTGCTGCACCGTGCTGCAAGACTCCACCAGCGAGCAGACGAAGCCCAGCAGCTTGGAGCTGTGAACCGCCCGTTCGTGGCTTACCGCGTTGGTAATTTTGCAGGTTCCGTTTTTTTTTTTTTATTTTGAACTGGCCAGCACTTGACCGCCATCCCAGCTGATGGTAAGTGGCGATGCAGCCTTTTGGCTTCCATACACACTCTTAGCTGAAAATCCTTCATATCTGTATACATATGAAGGATTTTTAGTTGTACTTGTACTTATTGTACTTTATATTTCCACTGTAAAGTGCAATACTGCTTTAGGCTTGATATTTAAAAAAGGATCTCTCACCTCGTTGAGAAGCAATAACATAATTATTAAGTTATGTCAATAGTATTAGGTATTCCAATTGAACTAAGGGCTGTAATGAAAAAAAAAATCGTTTTTCTTATATTAAACAGGGCAAATGAAACAGAATATTCTGTTAATTTAGGAAACATTATATACACTCTTTCAAAGTACCACGCATATTTATCTTAGGCTATGTAAGTTACATTTATAACCATATAAATAACGTCGTTTATAACCATATACGTCAGGCCGCGAATGCCGAAGACGTGGGTTCGATTCCCACAGCGGCAACAATCTTTTCGTACTTTTTCTACATATTTTAATATTAAATCTTAAGTGCAATGATTAGCACTAAAAACAATTTAAATTTATAAATAATTATACATTAATAAAAAAAACTTCAGACAGCCTTTATTTTACGGTGGTAGGGCCACGCATCAGCCTCGGCTGTTGCACTAATGGGCAGGCTCGTCCGGGTAAGTACCACGACCTCACAGAAGAAACTGGTGAAGTGGAAGTATAATACTTTCGCGTTTCGTCTGGTGAGTGAGGTGGCCGAAGCCCAATTTTCAAAAGGTTGTCAACGCATCTGCAACCCGTGGGTGTAGCAGATGTATATGGACGACGGTATTCACTTAACATCAGGTGAACCGTCTGCTCGCTTGGCAACTTTTCACATAAAAAAAATTCACAGTTTGTGGAAATAGGTTTCAATACATCTATTAGACATTAACTTCATCGTCGAGTAGAAACTACGATAATCAATACCACTGACAGCAACATTTTTAACGTCACAGTTCCCAGTATTGGGACATTGAAAATAGTTCACGGTGATGAAGCAGACGGTAAAATAGATGAGCAGTAATATTCGATCTCGGTATAACAAAGACGATGAGGAAATGATACATGATGAGGAGTTCTAGTAACTGTATAAACAAGTGTATCTCTCTATAACAATAGCAGTGTTGAACTATAAATCATATCATCTGTGTTGTTTATACAAACTCATAAAGTTTAGGCTAATCGCTCCCGGCGCCATGAACGTCTAATGGCCGGATTATCGAGATTGCGGGCGGCGGACCGCCTAACTGAGCGGAGATAACTGAAGGTCTATTTAAGCAAAAGGGACACGGGATATAATGAGAGGGCTGTTTGGAACGGGACGGTTAATGGTTTTGTTGACACCTTTTCAAATGGCTTAACTATCGCTCAACATTACACGACACCTGTTGTTGGAGAACACAAGGCCTAACATAGCGAAATTACGTACTACTAATCTTTAAGTACCGTGCACTAAGGCCGTGATAGCTCAGTGTCCGGGCCCTCGCCTTTAATTCAATATACTGGAACAACCTGAGTTCGATCCCCGGTGCCGGCACCAATGAAATTGTTAATTATAAATACAGACTTATCACGTGCTAAGCGCTGAACTAGAACATCGTGAGGAAACCTGTATATTTTCGAAATAATAAGAAAAAAAATATTCGAGACTGTAAAGTCCGTCAATCCAAAAGAGGTCGCGTGGTGGACTATGCCCTAATATCCTTTGTATTAGAGACCTATGCCCAGAAGTGACATATAAAGGCTATTAATTTACGTATAAACCGGTGATTGTTATCGTATAAACCTCTGTAAGTACTAAATTTAATTCAAATACACACAAAACTTCGTATTTACATTACTACATTTGTGTGATTAAGTCAGTACCTATCGACTTGGAAACGTTTTAATTTTTGATCAAGGTATTAATAAAATTCAAAAACAAGGACTCGATGAAATGTAATAATTTTTACTGGAGAAATAACTTAATATAAAATGAGAGTGTATTCATTGAATAAGAGTATGGCATATGAGTACAAGAGTGATCTAAAAAAGAAGCACATACTTTAATATCCCTCTAACCAGTAAAGCGTCTGTCTTTACTGTTATAAAAAAACCACAGTAAACATTTTACGCGTTCAACAAATCGCGGGAAAAGAACAACAAATCAAGCAATTACTCGGCGCGGAGTTTCACTTTTTTAGCTCCACAGCAAAAAATTAATGTTATAATACCGCGGCGACAGATTGAATACGTAACTGTGAAATGTCGAAATATTCCACCCCCCGTGGAATAAATTACTGTTTGTCGTTGTAAAACGCCTTTCATAAATTTTCGTGCTAAACGCAGGCCGGTAACGACACGGGGCAATTAGAAGTTGTAGGGAGTTACTTCGCAGCTATTACCCGACCGTTTCAAGATGGCCGGCGGGCTCCACGGGCGATTAGCGGGCGACAGCGAAAGTGCATTTAGCCGGTTGGCGTCGGCGAAGCCACTCGGAATATTAATTAATTGCTCTCAATCCTGCGAGTTCATATCTAAACCCGATGTGGCCGTGATTTAGTTGGGAAATTTCGACCGGAGTTAGACGGGACTTTGGGTTCCGAACGAAGTATAGAACGTTCCGAAGTAGTTTTTATGTTAGAAAAAATGGAACATTGTAACCGGGTTTTATTTTACTTACTAAAGGACCGAGTTGTTGTCATTCTAGTAAGCTAGTTTATATACTATACTATCGGTCTAATAAACTTACAATTGACGACTAATGTGGAAGTAAAAGAAGATTGGTTCTTAAATATTTAATGGTTGGACAAGTAAAACAATTTTAGTAACAAAAAACAAAAACCGACTGCAAATACTTACGGTATATTTTCTATTTGATTTTGAGGAGGAGCAAAGTCTCCAATATACGAATCATCAAAATATATTAGGTATCACCCCTGCGATATATACATGGAAAGATATTAATACCGCTGCCTAAGCAACCCGACTGAGCACATCACCGCTCTACTGAACACACACTAACAGAAGAGTCAAATTAGAAAACATTCAGGGATTTATTAAGAGTGGTTGGACTAGAATTAAATTGGATAATACTAAAATACTAAACTAAGAAAGAACTATATATTATGTGAAACGAGAGTAGATACATATGTGTTAAGTTCGGTTACAAGGCAGCAAAACTCGGCAGCTTCAAAATTTTGCTATAGAAAACCATGATGTATACAGGGCGAATGTTGCCGATTGTGAGATCGGTGTAATTTTTCAGTATAAGCTGTTTAAATTTTTAACTTCTGCTGTGCTATCGTTTTGTTAACCTGTTAAAATACCAGGGCGACATACCACAGCATGGGGTCCCGTTTGGGGTCCGAAGTGGGCGCGTCGTGCGGCAGGTCCAGTTGCGAGAACAGCGGGAAAAGAACCTGGACGCCGCCGATCGAATTCAGCGCGCTGTGGATCGAGTGCGTCACCACTGCCTTCACCTCCTGTAAAGGATTCATTCTTGAGAGACCTAGGATTTGATATTGGCAATCGATACATCTATTAATATTCAAATATCTTTATTCAACATAGGAGCATGACGCTCACTTTTTGATTGTCAAAATACTACTACCGGCTCGGATAAGAAAAGCTACTGATCTGAGAAGAACCGGTGAAAGGAAGTGAGCGGGCCTTTATATACCATTTTTTGACCGTGAGTTATCTTTTAAATAATCATTAATATTATAATAGTATTTAACACACCAATGTTCTTTTACATTTTTTAAATTTTGTGATTGGTACAATTTGAACGTTTTCTGAGATTTTGTTGGAGATACGTATACATTACCCATAAAAGATTAACTAATTCTATGTAGTCTAGTTGTGGATTGGATTAATATGGTTACAATCTAATTTTTAATCTATTGAGACAGTCGCACATGGGCAATCGTACAGCAGGATGACCTGGTGGGACGTTCTATACTACGATGGCCCAGATATAGTAGGGCCTGTGCAAATGAGGGGGAAATATATGGATGCAGGTGGCTCGGGATCGTACTTTGTGGCAGTCTGTGAGACCTTGGTCCAGTAGTGGCCCTAAACAGGATGAAATGACGACGATGAGTCACATTCGGTCACCTTCCCTTGTTCTGATCTAAATTAGTTTTTGTTTTCAAATCAAATCAATTAATTTATTTATCAAAATAAGAAATATACATTTCATCTATCGATAGTATTTTTTAAAATCGACCACCGTTTCCTAATGAGGTTCCTCTAACGGAGAAGAAACAGGGAAAAGAAACTCCTTTCTACATTCTTTACCCGCGTGCCCCGCTCTCTTTCATCCAGAATAGATATCACAAACCTGCAGCATCAGGGCGTGTGGCGTGTGCACGAAGTAAGACACATTGCCCTTAGGCGCCGACTGGAGACAGAGTTGTCCGTCCGTCGCGACAGGGTTGTACATGAACACAATAGCGGCCGACAGCTTGCCATCATAGAGAACCTGAGAAGGCGACAGAACACATATATCACAACACGCAACTGTATTGACGAGTTAAAATCAACCAATTTCCCATATGAAGAACGCACAAAGAACTGCAATATGCAGCTATGTTGATAAATGAATTCACATAAACCAATTCCCGGGTCACACATACAACTGTTTTTTATTTTAGTTAGATTTGATGAGAGTTATTAATGAAATAAGCGACACGTGTAAAAGTGTTATTAGTTATTGACATTATTTATTAGTGTTATTGAACAATAGAATTGCAATGAGTTACGAGATTATATCGAAACCAATTTTCTGGATTTTTTTTAATTTTCATCGATATTCTATACAAGATTGAATATCAATGACACTTTAAACAAATTTACGAATATAATTTAGAAGTGACCGATTTATTTGAGGCGTCGGTAAATGAATACAGGTTAGTTAGGTATAAAGGAGTCCACTAGACGCGATAAAATCCTTAAAAGTGATTTCAATTAATGTGTTAATTAAATGTGTACTATTATTTTATTAAAAAAAAAAAACACATACATGCACTAATTTGTAGAAAATGAACAAACAATGTGAAATAGTATTAGACAGACGTGCAAATGATTTACCCTTTCCTTTGAACAATCACTTTTTACAACGAAGCAAATAGACTTTACGATAAAGCCAATAAAGCACTCTTTATTAAAAGCAACCAGTAATATACGAGAAATATTAAAGGAAATTTAGAAACGAATTTCGCAGAATCATTTTTAACTGTCGAAAACGGGCCTCAATCAAATACAGTACAAAAAGAGAGAACGGTACAAAAAAGTACTTTCTACAAATAATTTTTTTTGCTGTTGTTACTTGGGACTACTAAAATCACAGCCTGTAACACGTATTTTATAAGTGTTTTATTACGTTGTATTATTATTATTATCATTTAATATAATGTGAAGTTTCCTAACATAATTTAGAATTAAATTAAATAATAATCACACTATTCACAGTCAACGCTAATACGTAAATGTTTTTTTAATGTATCGATATAGACAATAAAGAAAAGAAGACGAGCAAGTATCGCAAAGGCACTTGAAAGAGGCAGCCTGAACCCGATGAAGAACAAAGCGATCGCGTCGCTTAAACAAGAATTGCATTACGCGTGGTGTTAGCGGCGAGACCTTTGGCCCATTAGCTAAGACAACAAGTCTGGTTATGTCAACAGGGTTGGCGCATTACGCGAATTCTAATAAAGACTTAAGCGCGATCTCAAACAATCGCAATCGAGTAACTTTATCCCATTTACAAGTTGATAATGCTATAACTTCTTATACAGCGTCGTTATGAACTCGAGTTGACAGCCGTAAGATGTAACAATTTCAGAAATTGTTTATCAAATGTACGAAAAAATATATTTTTTTTCTCTCAAAATAGGATCGAAACCGTTAAATAGTATAGAGGTTCACTATAGTGGAGTCATGACCCCATCGTTCATATTAAAGTAGAAAATAGAATAATATTAAATAATTTTAACGGAATATAATTATACCCGAATAGTATTAAATAATATTAACAGTAGTAGGACCACGTAGCAGCCTCAGCTGTTGCACGAATGGTCAGGCTCGTCCGGGTAAGTACCACGACCTCGCAGAAGACCGGCATAAAGTGGAAGTACAACAAATACTTTCGCGTTTCGTCTGGTGAGTGAGGTAGCCTGCATCTGTAACCCTCGGGTATTCACTTAACATCAGGTGAACCGCCTGCACGATTGGCAACTTTTCAGTTTTTAAAAAAAACCGTCCTTTAGTTTGTCTCATGAAAAGTAAATTTCGCTATAAACCATCAGAGTATTGAATATGCCTTTCTACGGGCATTCACAGCCCTACACAGAAAGATAAAGCATCCGACAGTGGCTTTTGAGAGGGCGGAGGAGCTTTTGTGCGTGGCTGAAAGCCCGCCTAGCCCGGTGTCACCTTACGCCAACTATTAAGAGTTGCGAACATCGCAGCATCACGCTCTCTGTGTGTCGGAGAGATTAATGTATAAAGTAACACCACGCGAATGTACTCTCGAAAAGGATTTATGTATCAACATCCACGCTATCTCATATCGCGTAAAGCCAGTGAAGTACTGAGTACTCGTTTACTCGTTTATTCGAGTTCTCGCTGTCAACTTTCAAGAAATATTATGAATGGTAATAACTGTCGTTGAAATTGTTACCAATTTTTTGATACCATTTGAAAATCTAATACGATTATCTTTATATGTATTCTTCACCGCTTTAAAAATAAGTTACTGTGTTGTTTGCACATAATTTATATTAAATATAATTTAATTCCTTGTTTGTTATACGTAGCGTAATATATTTTTTACATAACATTATCTCGTACAAAAGGATGTTAGCTTGCGTATTAAAAAACTTTAAAATACGTAATAGTTATATATGTATGTCTTTGGCATATATAGAATTGTTTAATCAAAGGGTGTTTTTGTCCATTTTTCTTACAGCGTGTCGTTACCATCGCGACAATAAATGAACACGTCTAACGCTACTTGCCAATAATCACAAAAAATATTAACGTTAAAAAAGATCCATAATTAAAAAGAAAATATTTTTCAAACAAACTAATTAAGTAAAAAAGAAACAAAATTTGTAATATCCTATACATGTCGTATTACAAGCCTCTCCTTCTAACAGTATGTTTTGTCTCTTTTAAATTCATTCAACCCATTCATATGCTTTGTGACCTTTTCAAATGAACTTTACGTTACAGTTTTATACGTAAGGATGTTCTAAAATTCTTTGTTTTGGAAAATTTAATAACTCTGTAAATATTGATGTTTAAAGAATGTAAATGTTTAATACAATTTTAAAAAGTTATCCTTTATATGTGTGTTCATTTATTGTCGCGATTGTAAAGACACGCTGTATATAGGTCTAAATTTTGACTTCTTAAAGCACCATAATTGAATAAGCGATTGCTGATTTTGATTATGTGTTAATAATGATAACTAAATATTTCAGGACACATTTATACAATGTTATGTATGTCCCAACGGTCCCAAAATAAGCAAAGCTTGTACTATTGATACTACGTAACTGATAAACATACTTTTTTTTTGTAAATAAAATCTTATTACAGATATGTGTTTATATATCTACATTAACTAGTGTCTGGACACTTAAAACATTACGTTTATCAAACAATGTTTTATCAGTAGTGGGAATCGAACCCACACCTCTGGCACAACAGAGAGGTTCACTATCCACTACGGCAATCGGGTCCTAATAATCATATTGCAACACAAAATTCTTCCGAGACGACGCGAGATAGGCTCTCTTGGCATATCGTCGAATTAGCTGTAAGAATCTCAATGCATGTCGCACTCCATCGCACAGACTAACTAAATTGTCGTCACTCATAGACGTTAATTGAGTACGACTGAAGAAGGTTGTAGAGGTTGAAGGTTGTGAGAGAGTTTATAAATATTCTGGTAAATGGTTTATTAACACTAATATATGGTATAAAATGGTATAAAGAATACGCGGTATAAATAAATTGTATGTTATGGTTAGTGGCGAGGCGCGTACTGCCTTAAATCAGGCATGAAACGTACATATGTACGCGAGTGTAATGTGCCTATGATGCACAAAGTGACGATTTTGCTGTTCGGTTGACTCCGTACAACGACATTAAAGCAACGATACGAAATGATTCCCTTAACTGCATCTACTTCTGTATGAGCAGTAATAACACGGCGTAAGCTTCAGCGTTTATATTCAGCTAAGTGCTCCTAAGCGCAGTTTGCGGACATTCCGAGGCACCAATGTATGCGTCACGTCGAAATGGCCGTGGCGCGTTAAATATAAAACGCGTTAGTTCCCCAAAGCGTGTAACTATATGTACATATTGTACGGAACAATTGTGGCTCGGGTACGGTACACAAGTTCGTAACAATCATGCCGAAAGTTTCGGAATTGGACGCTAATGTAATTTATACAAATATCCAGTGGAGTTTTCAGAGTTGCTTGTAACGATAATGATAAACTTTATATGCCACAATACCAAGAATACACAGAAAGCGTTTAAATCGTGGAAAATTCTTAGATAAATCATAACCAAAAATATACAAATAACAAAGAAAATAAGTTCAGAAATGTTCAGGGTATTCCCAAAGCTAAATTCACATTGATGATTTTTAGCTAATCCTTTATTATACATGATTATGTAAATTTCATGTCTATTTCCCGCTCTTGGAATATTCTTAGTTATATGCTAACAATAAAATTATTATTAAACAAACATGTGCTATGTTGCTTTTGGTATTTAATTATCATTTATTTTTATGGGGTTTTTAACTACATAGATATGCTAAACCCATCGTAACTTATACAAGTTACAAATTACGAATAATCCTTCAAACGGGTATTGCTTTCACTACTTTTTAATAACCCCTTTTCCTTTATTTTATTTAATAAGGATCTTTTTACCCGACTGCGCCAGAAGGAGGGTTATGTCTTTCGAGAGTATGTATGTATATATAATTGTTTGGCACGCTCTGCAGCCTGAACGGCTTGATGGATTCTAGCTTGAGAGGTTTCTTTAGATTCGTATTTACTGTGAAAGTGACACGGTGTATATCAAAATAATTTCCAATTTACACAGAAACGCAGTCGGGTTTATTAGTTTTTTAAATTATAATATCTACTCGTTTAAACATTCGGAACTCTTTAGAATATTTCCCTTCATCGTTTTTTAGAGTTGTATTTGGTGTAGCGACGATTTTACACAGTTCCTTAATCAAGAGCGAACGAATTTCCTTTGCCCCAGGGAAAGCGCCAACGGTTCGCGGCGAACTTGGCTTTCCTCAAGAAACTTCCCGACGTCTTGACAGCATTTGCATCGAAATAAGAGACACGCGACGACAGCAAAGTTGCGAATCTTTATGCATAGTATTAAGTTTGTTTAATACGCGCGGCGTATCTTCCGCGACGTTGAAATTAAAATGCATCTTTTGTT